GCTTCCCATTCCTACGGAGCTCTGTCTCCTCCCCACACTCTGTCCTCTCAGGCCACGCCCACCCCCTCAAATTGCCAGGGATTGGACAAGCTAGAGTTGGCAGCTGTGGCAGCTATGGGGTGTATGCAGGGGTCATTTTGTAGAAAAAGAGGAGCAGGAGCTCATTAGCATAACGCATTAGCATAACTTATTTGCATACGCCACACCCCCTGACATCACCGGAAGTGTGTCAGAAGACAACACCCACCCCTCAGGCTCCACTGGACTGTTTTGGATTGCTAGCTATTGGGGGGGGGGATGTGCAGATCTGTCCTTGCAGAGGAGGGAGAGCTTGTACCTGAATAAAACTTGGTCTTAAAGGTGCCACTGGACTGTTTTGGACCGGGGGGCCGGGGGGAGCTTTGCAACTTACCTGGCTGCTTCTTGCTCTGACTGAGGGCTGCTGGGAACAGGGGGTGGGGCTTGTTGCATGTGCCCACCCCCTGGGCTCTTTACTGCCGGAGCTCCACTCCTGTGCGCTCCTGCAGGAAATTACCCCTGGGGTGTATGTGTGGGAGAGACTGGGGGGAGGCTCTGAGTAGAGTTGCTAGCTCTGGGGGTTTTGGAGGGGGAGCCTGGGGAAGGCGTGGTTTGGGGGAAGGGAGGGACCTCGGCGGGCTATAGTACCACAGAGTCCGCCCTCCAAAGCAGCCATTTTCTCCAGGGGAACTGATCTCTGTAGCAATACCGGGAGATCTCTAGACCCCACCTGGGGGTTGGCAACCCTAGCTCTGGCAACTGCCTACTGGGAATGAACAATGTCCAGTTCCCCACTCTGGCTTTTTTTAAACCCCCAACTGCCCACAATCAAATAAAAAGGAGGACACAGACTTTGTAGGAAGGAGTGTTAGCATGCAAGTTAGATGCCCCCTTAAGGTCTCTCATTCGGAAATCTGTTAGACCAAGGTTGTCCTCATTTGTGAGGTAACAGAAATCACTTTTTTAAATAGAAATTTGACTAGACTGACGATACCCAGACGAACAGAAGTTTACTGAACAGAAAACAGAGTATCCAATAGGATAGCTCTTATGTGTGGTTCAATATAGGCTCTCAACTTCACCTCCAAAGGTTATAAACTTTCCCAAAATGAGAGCAACTACTTGAGTCAGACTCGACTGTGTGACTGAACAACAAAATGGGTTGCCAGGCTGGCTTACCCTGCTGGCGGAGGGCGGGAGGCAGCTTTCTGGGAGTGGGGTGGGTGGGGAGACGTCGCTGTGCGCCATGCCACCGACGCAATGATGTCACACGGAAGTGACATCATCATGCCAGGGATGTCGCATGGCGACGCACTAGCATTTGGTGCAAAACTCTATGGCAACCATAGAGTTTTGCCCAAAATGCTAGAGTGTTGCTGCATGTCGTCCCAGGCGTGATGACATCACTTCCATGTGACGTCACTGTGTCGGGAACATTGCTGCATGTGGAGGCCTTTCAGGGGTGGGGCTTTCCCCGCCAGCCAGGTGGCTGATGGTGGGCTGAAGCCCTAAATATCGGGGGAACCCCTGCCCGGACAGGGGGTCTGGCAGCCCTGTAGCTGAGCCTCAGGTAAAGTCAATGAGCCCTGAGGGGAGAATGGTTTCCCCTTTTTCCAGTCAGGTTTACCTCAGCAAGTTCTGGGCGGCCCTTTTCTCTCACAGGGCACTTTCCCACAGAACCTGCAAACACCAGTTAGGGATGACCGAGTCCTAACGGGATGCTGATTTGTCACACAAAAATAAACTTTCTTCCCTAAGCTGACCCCCCAAACCCCGACTAAAAGCCAAATAAAAGCTTGGCTAAACTGAGGCTCCTTTCCAAAGTCACCAAATCCCCCGTCTGAAGGAAAGTAGTTTTTCTCCCCCCTTTTTAAGGCTGAGGCTGGTTCCGCCCCTCCCTCCAGCGGAATTCCCTGGGCTCTGATTGGCTGACAATCACTGGGATTTGCATAAGGCCCAAATCACAAGGATTGGTTCAGAGCCCCCCCCCCCAGGAGAGGCGCGGCTGCCACATTAACCTTCACTACAAATGACAGTTTTGTTGCTCAGTAAGGCCAGATATTTAGAAATACTAAACGTGAAAAACAAAACAAGAGACTGCTTTTTATGTCTGGGAGAAAGACCGTGGCGTCTCTTTGGAACAGGGCTAGTGTATTTTGAAAAGCGAAAAAGAAGGACGTATTTCCCGACGGACTACTTCAAACAACTGATCACTCTGACAAATCTCCTTTTAAACCCCCTTTACTCTTTAAACTGTGAGAATTGCCACCAACTAGGAATATTCTCAGCCTTCCAGCCGCCAAAAGGAGACATTTTGATCAGGTTGTTTTTTATTTTTTTAAAGGAGCCCCAAAGAGGACGGACAGCAAAAAAAAAGAGGACATGCCCTCTAAAAAGAGGACATCTGGTCACCCTCCTTTGAAAGGAGGTCCCCCAAATGTCAATGAGAAGGGATGCCTGGCCCCACTGGTGGACCTCCTGATGGCATCTGCAATGTTCCCTCTAAGCTGTGGGGTCTTGTGAGCAAAAATTGTACTTTGTGAGTTGCTGGCATTAAAGTTGTGAGCGAGCGATTTGGCTACTGCATACATTAGTTTGCTCTGGAGCCCTCCTTCCTGTGCTGAGACACAAATGTGTGAGCTGGAGGCTAAAAAACTGTGAGCTAGCTCACGCTAACTCAGAGCCAGTATGGTGTCGTGGTCAAGTGCGCGGACTCTAATCTGGGAGAACCGGGTTTGATTCCCCCACTCCTCCACTTGCACCTGCTGATGTGACCTTGGGTCAGTCACAAGCTCTGGCACAGCTGTCCTTGAAAAAGAGCCGATTCTGCCAGAGCTCTCTCAGCCCCACCCACCTCACAGGGTGTCTGTTGTGGGGAGGGGAAGGGAAAGGAGTTTGTAAGCCGCTCTGAGACACCAAGTGAAGGGCGGGGTATAAATCCAATCTCTTCTCTTCTTCTTCTTCTTAGAACCTCCTGATGGCACCTGCTATTTTTTGGGCACTGTGTCTCACAGAGTGTTGGACTAGATGGGCCACTGGCCTGAGCCAGCATTGGCTTCTCTTAGGTTCTTATACCCTGGAGGTTGCTGGGGCTGAATTCTGGAGCTCGCCCCAAAGCAAGAACGCCGAGGTCCTCTGAGCTCTGCCCCACTGCCTTGCTAGGGCCGAGATGCAGAGCTTCTGCTTTCAAGTCCAAGAATCCCACTACTGGCTTTCCGACCTCAAGCAATGCCAGGTGTGGTGCAGTTTGGAGACCAGGATAGCAACAGTTGGGGGGGGGTTCCACCTCTTGTGCCCGCACACTGGGGGCTGCTGGGCACAGTTGTTCTGGCGCATTTTATCTGGCTGTTTCTCCGGAGCTCTTTAACCGCCTGGGGGAGAATCGGAGCTGTTGAATCCTTTCCCCCACACCCAGGGGTCATTTAGTAGAAAAAGGGGTGCAGGAGCTCATTAGCATAACTCATTAGCATAACTCGTTTGCATAGGCCACACCCCCTGACATCACCGGAAGTGTGTCAGAGGGCAACACCCACCGCTCAGGCTCCACTGGACTGTTTTGGATGGTTAGCTATTGGGGAGGGGGGGGAACGTGCAGATCTGTCCTCACAAAGGAGGGAGAGCTTGTCCCTGAATAAACCTTGGCCTTAAAGGTGCCACTGGACTGTTTTGGGTTGCTGTTTGGGGGGGGAGCTCTGCAACTTACCTGGCTGCTTGTTGCTCCTCGTGGCCTGACTGAGGGCTGCTGGGGGCAGGGGGTGGGGCTCATTTCATGTGCCCTCCCCCTGGGCTCCTTACTGCCAGAGCTCCGCTCCTGTGCGCTCCCGCAGGAAATGACCCCTGCCCACTCCTTTCCCCTGATTTAGACAGCCAGTGTGGTATAATAGTGGGTAGAGTATCAGACTAGGATCTGGGTTCAGATCACCACTCTACCATGGAAGTTTGCGAGGTGACCTCAGTCCAGTCACACCCTCTTAGCCTAACCTACCTCGCAGGGTTGTTGTGAGAATAACACGGAGAAGGGAGGTATGTTGTAAAGAAGAAGAGAAGAGATTGGGTTTATACCCTGCCCTTCACTACCCGAGGGAGTCTCAGAGTGGCCTACAATCCCCTCCCCACAACATACACCCTGCGAGGTAGGTGGGGCTGAGAGAGCTCTCTTGAGAACTGCCCTTAAGAGAACAGCTCTGAGAGAACTTACGACGGACCCAAAGCCACACCGGCAGCTGCATGTGGAGGAGTGGGGAATCCAAGCTGGTTCTCCCAGATTAGAATTCGTGCTGTTAACCACTACACCAGACTTGGCTACACCAAGTCGCTTTGGGTCCCCATTGGAAAAAGCATGGTGACATCCCTGTCACAATCACATCACCTGGAAGTGACGTCATCGCATTGCCGACATCAGGAGTGACACTCTGGTTTTTGGGCAATCTCTATGGGTTTGAATTAAAAAAACCCATAGAGTTTGCCCCAAAACTAGAGTGTCGCTCCCTGGCTATGGCAATGCGATGATGTCACTTCTAGGTGACATCACTGCACCCCGCACATGACGATCCCAAGAAGGACCTGGGACTCCCACGCTCTGCAACAGGCAGGACTTGGCAACCCTATCCTTTGAGAGCCAGTTTGGTGTCGTGGTTAAGTGTGCGGACTCTAATCTGGGAGAACCGGGTTTGATTCCCCCCTCCTCCACTTGCACCTGGCTGGATGACCTTGGGCAAGCCACAGTTCTGATAAGAGCTGTCCTTGAAAAAGAGCAGTTTTTGTCAAGAGCTCTCTCAGCCCCACCTACCTCACAGGGTGTCTGTTGTGGGGAGGGGAAGGGAAAGGAGTTTGTAATCTGCTCTGAGACACCTTTGGGTAGTGAAGGGCGGGGTATAAATCCAATCTCTTCTTCTTCTTCTTCTTTCATTGACCCCCCCCCCATATTACCCTTGAAAGATCATGACCATGTTCAACCCGTGACGATGTAAAACCCATTTCAGATTCCTTCCCCGGAGAACCTGGAAGACTTCGTTAAGTTTTCTTTCCACACCAAAGTGTTTGAAAACAACATTGGTTACCTGAGGTTTGATATGTTCGGAGACTGTGAACTTCTGTCCCGAGTCTCCAACCTGCTGGTAGAACACGTCTGGAAGAAGATTATGGACACGGATGCCCTGATCATTGACCTCAGGTAAGTAGTCAAGGGGAGGGGCTGTGGCTCAGGGGGTAGAGCATCCGCTTGGCATGCAGAAGGTTCCAGGTTCAATTCCCCAGAATCTCCAGTTAAAAGATCTGGCAGTAGGGGATGGGAAAGGCCTCTGCCTGAGACCTTGGAGAGCCATTGCCAGTCACAGTAGACAAATACTGACCTTGATGGACCAAGGGGGTCTGACTGAGTGTAAGGCAGGTTAATGCGTGTTCATGTGTCCACGCAAGGGAAGTGCGAAGCAACGTCAACTATTCAAAATGTCCGCTGTATTCAAAAATGCATTTCATTTCGCTACTAAGTGTTATGTTTCTAAAAGCCCCACACTTCCCGCTCCAAATGTCATGATTTTAAACACCTTGGTAAGTCTTATTTGGCAAAACATGAAAAAGCATGGTTGTTGTTTTTTTAAAAAAAAATGATTACCCCCCAAAAAAAGACAATCCGGCTGAACTCTTGGAAGATTGGCAATTTACAGCAGAAATGGAAACTCTGGCTAATATTTTCAACGAAAAATAGCTGTCAGAACCCACAGTTCAGGGCTATTTTTGGGCAGGAACACACAGGAACGGAGTTCCGGCTGGCTCCTGAGTTGGCCACACCCAGCAGGAACTCATTAGCATAATAGGCCACACCCAACAGCAGAAACTCATTAGGATTGGCTACAGTAGGCGAGTGTGGCCTAACATGCAAAGGAGTCCCTGCTACAAAAAAAAGGCCCTGGGTTTTGACAACAAACAAGGTAAACAGAATAAGAAGCAAAAGGTGGGTGTGGCTGAATGACCACACTTCTGGCAACAGGGGGCTGTGACCTAATATGCTAATGAGCTGTGGTTTCAGGGTGTGGCCTATTAAGCTAATGAGTTCCTGCTGGGCTTTTTCTACAAAAAAAAGCCCTGCCACAGCTTACAACGAAGTACACGCATTCAGGAACGGTTATACTTTTATTGCAGAGCTATAGAGGCAGTAACACAGGCACTGTTAAGAATGGCGGCAACCCATTGAGCATAATAGGATATAGGCCATTCGTATGCACACACACACCCATCCCAATGGCATGGGCCAATTAGCTACCCTCCTGCACGCGGGACCAGCTAGGAAACCGTTAGGTGGTGAAAGCTGGGAACCAGAAGTCTCTCACGGTACATCGGAGACTTTCAGACAACACAACCTCCTCTTGCACATCTGTAGAGATAAGCATTTCAGCACAGGCAGAACAGCAGAGATAGGAATGCAATAGCAATCACCAAGACACAGAATGAACTCCCCAACCCCCATGGCAGCATAGCTGACAATAGCATGATGGTTTTACCACTCATGGGAGGAGTCGCAGCTCTGTGGCCAGGAGGAGTCCAAGCGTGGAAGCGAACAAGGCCACATCCCAGGGAGCTGGCCCTCACTCTGGGCGTTTCTTTGAGAGCCGCTGCCTGTATATAAGTATGGAGTGGGGCCACGCAAGCCAAGTTATCACAAGCACAGCAGCTGGATTTGAATCCCAGAACACCTCAGAGAGCAACACGTTTTGGGGACTGTAAGATCTGGAGAGTCAACGTTCGCTTTGTCAGATACAAGCCGGAAAGAGAATCTCTGCCTCCTTCTATCCCAGTCAGAAGGTGGGAGGGGTATTGCAGAGATGGAACTTGGGATGAAGAGGTGCAGTATGCATTGCAAACAGTTTGATCAGAGCTGGGGTTGCCAGGTCTTACCGGCCTTCCAGCAGGGGGCTCCTGGATCCGTGCCTGGGTCCGTGCCAGGAAGTGACATCATCTTCTTTTTTTTAATTTCCCTCTTCTAAAAAGGAGAGAATTTTATTGCTTTCATTTCAGAAAGTTAGGAAGGGTATATAGAGGGGTAAAGAAAAGTGTTGAGTGATATTAAAAATTAGTATTTTAATCTTTTATTAGTAAAGTCAAAGTCAAAATCTTCTTCTGCAGCTGGACAATCCCTTTTTCTTCTATATCTTTCAAAACCGGTTCAGGAAGTGACATCATTGTGTTGGGCACGTTGTTCGTCGCCACTCTAGCATTTTGGCCAAAAACTCTATAGTTACCATAGAGGGGCACAGATGATTTCGATGGGGGAGAGGCTGTTTGGGAGTGGGATTCCCCCCGCTGGCCAGTTGGCCAGCAGCAGGCTGGAGCCCCCGAAATTGGGGGAAAACCCACCCCAACTGGGGGCGGTCTGGCAACCCTAATTAGAGCAGAGGGGGAATGCTTGGTGGGCAGAAAATTAGCATTTGTCATGAGATAAGAACTCTAGGTCCCTATTCAGCCCTGGGAGGGGGTCCATTGCTCTGACTGTGTTTATCTTGCTTTGTAGACCACATTAAGTATTTCTTAATATAAAAACCATCTAGGATTCCATAAATAAATAGATTGAGAGGAACCAAAGAAGCAACAGACCTAAAAATAATGAGAAAATACTCTGCTGGTCAGCCACTGATCCCAGGCAGCCCAACTGTGAACTCCCCAAAGCTGTTGCACCCTGAATGACCAACTATTAGGTCACTCAGACCATGTGATAATTCCCATTGGGACCCCAACAATCTCATTAGCAAAGGGGAGCAGAAAAAAGCCTTCCCCTCCCAACAGACACCCTGTGAGGTAGGTGGGGCTGAGAGAGCTCTGAGAGGACTGCCCTTGAGAGAACAGCTCTGAGAGAGCTTGTGACTGAGCCAAGGTCACTCCAGCAGCTGCATGTGGAGGAGTGGGGAATCAAACCCCGTTCTCCCAGATTAGAGTCCGCGCTCCTAACCACTGCACCAAACTGGCTCTCAAAAAGAAGCACACCCATGCAGAGATGAAAGACGGACCTGGCTGTGAGAGAATGGGCCATCTCTCTCAAAACCACACAATTTCTTTGCTGGGAAGGGCGTGCACTGCCTCTGCCAATCTGGATGTGTGGGTCTAAATGATCGGGGCTCTTGGCACAACTGTGACAGGTTGAGGGAGATTTGCTGCCACTCCAAGGTGTTTTCTCTCAGGCAGAGACCACGAAGGTCTGTCTGTTTTCACCTTCCGTGTAGAGCTAACATGATCTTGCTTTCCCTTTATCTATGCAGATATAATGTAGGGGGCCCTACGTCCTCCATAGCAATTCTGTGCTCCTATTTCTTCGATGAAGGACACCCGATTCTTCTGGACAAAGTGTACAACAGACCAAACAACACAACTACTGACATCTGGACCCATTCACAGCTTAAAGGTGATCATAATTCTATTCTATATTTCAGTACCCAAGACAGACGGCTGGCTCTAGTGTGGTAGTTCATCCAATGCTAAAACCAGACTCTAGCCAGCATGGGCTACAGACAGGCAGATATGAATGGGAACCATTGAAAAATAATGAAGAGCTGGAGGCTACAAACCTAAGAAAGAGTCCCGTGGGATTGGACCAATGGTCCATCTAGCCCAGCATCTTGGGTACCACAGTGACAAAGCAGATACCCACAGAAGACCAACGTGCTGGGCATGGAGGTCAAAACCTCCTGATGAATTGCTTCCCAGCAGCTGGTATTCAAAGGTTTACTGCCCCAGAATTTGGAAGCTCCATGGCTAATAGCTATCAATGAATTTCCACTCCTCCATGAATATGTCCAATTCTCCTGTAAAGCTATTTAATGTAGCACCTAGAATCATAGAGTTGGAAGGGACGTCCAGGGTCATTTAGTCCAACCACCAGCACAATTCAGGAAATTCACGAATACTTCCCTCCCACACACTCCAGCGACCCCTTTTCCATGCCCAGAAGATGACACAAAACCTCCAGTATCATAAGAACATAAGAACCTAAGAGAAGCCAATGTTGGATCAGGCCAATGGCCCATCTCAAGGGTGTAGACGTTCCAATTTCCCGGGGGGGGGGGCTGGGGCTGGGCCAGAGGCATTGCTGTGCTAGGAGCAAGGGTGGCTCCCGGGGGAGGCTGAGCACCTTCCTGAAAATTTCGGTGGGGGCTGAAGCCCCGCCGCCCCCACGAAGATTACGCCTATGGATCTAGTCCAACACTCTGTGTCACACAGTGGCCAAAAATACCAGGTCCAGCAGTGGGGCCAGGACACTCGAAGCCCTCCCACTGTTGCCCCCACCCAAGCACCAAGAATACAGAGCATCACTTGCCCCAGCCTGAGAGTTCGTATCTATACCTGTGGCTAATAGCCACTGAAGCAAAGGAGCTCCATATGCTTATGCTCCATACACCAAACTGGCCTATCAAGTGGCAGTGAGTTCCATAAGTTAATAGTGTCTTGGGTGAAGGAATGCTTTCTTTTGTGCTTCCTGAATCTACTGCTCCTTTGCTTCATTGGGCGCTATGGAGTTCCAGCACTGGGAGAGAGAAATGCAATATCTGCCCCATTCTCTGCTATTTTGTCTACGTTATCTGTAATCCGCCTTTCTCAATGGGACTCAGACCTTTACCTTTACCTAACATTTCCTGAGGAAGATCCAATTTTGAAACGTTGTTATATAATTCGGAGATGATGTTGATGATGTGTTTTTACACTAGGGTTTCTTAATTATTGTTAGGCCTTTGTTTATTGTGTTGTAGAGTCTGTTGACCATAACAGAAAGCATCTTCTTTGCAAGACTTGTTGACGGTTTGATCTGTGGGTCAGACTCTCACAGCTGTTTTCTTTTCAATAGCTGGTGGAGAGCCAGGAGAGTAGGTGCCTTCCTGACCTTCTCGGGCAGGCCGTTCCATCAGGCGGGGGGCCCATTTGCAGGGTGACACCCACAGAAGGCCCAGCCCAGATGAACAAAGCTGTCATGGTGAAGTAATGGAGGGAGAGGCATTTTCAAGGTGTTGGCGATGTTCCTGTTGCCAACGTAGGAGAATGCTGAGAATCAGGTCGCATTGACACCATTAAATGCTTCAGATGAATTCGCTCTCAAGGCCAACGGATTTTGTTATTCCAGTGGCCCTCTTGATGTGTTAAAGCAGGGCTTTTTTGTTAGAAAAAGCCCAGGAGGAACTCATTAGCATAATAGGCCACACCCAACAGCAGAAACTCATTAGCATATTGGACTACACCCCTGACAGCACCACTCATTAGCATATTAGGCCGCACCCACATGTTACCAGAAGTGTGCTCATCCAGCCACACCCACCTTTTGCTTCTTATTCTGTTTACCTTGTTTGTTGTCAAAACCCAGGGCCTTTTTTTGGAGCAGGAACTCCTTTGCATGTTAGGCCACACACCCCTACTGTAGCCAATCCGAATGAGTTTCTGCTGTTGGGTGTGGCCTATTATGCTAATGAGTTCCTGCTGGGCATGGCCAACTCAGGAGCCAGCCGGAACTCCGTTCCTGTGCGTTCCTGCCCAAAAATAGCCCTGGTTTAAAGGCTGTAGCCTGCAATCCAGTGACATTCTGCTGCTAAATAAGATTGTCAGCTCCTGGTTGGGAAATATCTGGAGATTTTGGGGGTGGAGCCTGAGGAAGAAGGAGAAGAGTTGGTTTTATACCCAGCTCTTCACTACCCGAAGGAGTCTCGGAGCGGCTTACAATCACCTTCCCTTCCTCCCCCCCATAACAGACACCCTGTGAGGGAGGTGGGGCTGAGATTGGTCCCTTTTGCCCACTGGCAGGGGGTGGGATTTATTCCAGGAGTGGGGGTCGCTCCCCATTCCCCCCAAAACAGTGACATGGCGTGCGACGTGCCTGCGTCACTCAGAAGTGACATTGGCACATCGGTGACAACGCTCTGGATTTTGGGCAAAACTCTATGGTAAAACCGGCATCAAACTATAGAGTTTTGCCCAAAAGGCAGAGCGTCACCCCCACCATGACCTCAGTGATGTGCCAATGTCACTTCCGAGTGATACAGGCATGGCCCGGGCGACCCCACTGGCCGTATGGCCAGCAACAGGCGGGGCCCACAGATTCGGGGTATCCCCTGCTCCCACCGGGCAGATGGCCACCCTAGGCTGAGAGAGTTCTGAGAGAACTGTGAATGACCCATGGTCCCCCAGCTGGCTGCATGTGGAGGAGCGGGGAATCAAACCCGGTTCTCCAGGTTAGCGTCCACCACTCTCACCCATTACACCAGACCAGAGGGTGGGATTTGGGGAGGGGAGAGACAACTGTGAGGTGCCACAGAGTCCACCTTCCAAAGCAGCCATTTTCTTCAGGGGAATTCATCTCTGTCCCCCGGAGATCAGGCTGCGGCTCAAAGATGGCCGTGAGTCTGAACCACTTTTAAGAAGAAGAAGAAGAAGAAGGAGATTGGATGTATACCCCGCCCTTCACTACCCAAAGGTGTCTCAGAGCAGCTTACAAACTCCTATCCCTTCCCCTCCCCACCACAGACACCCTGTGAGGTAAAAGAAGAAGAAGAAGAGATTGGATTTATACCCCGCCCTTCACTACCCAAGGGAGTCTCAGAGCGGCTTACAAACTCCTTTCCCTTCCCCTCCCCACAACAGACACCCTGTGAGGTGGGTGGGGCTGAGAGAGCTCTTGACAGAACCTGCTCTTTCAGGAACAGCTGTGCCAGAGCTTGTGACTGACCCAAGGTCACATCAGCAGGTGCAGGTGGAGGAGTGGGGAATCAAACCCAGCTCTCCCAGATTAGAGTCCGCACACTTAACCACGACACCAAACTGGCTCTCCAGTTAATAAGGGTCATGCGCACGATGCAGTGTTTGTGTGTGGAGGGGGCCCGGTCCAGCCTCCTCCCATAAGACTCCCTTCTGGTGGCTCCACCTGGGTGAGAAGAACCGTCCCGCTGACCGGCTCCTCCTTTTCTTCTCCCCGGCAGGTGTGAGATACGGTTTCCACAAAGGCTTGGTCATCCTCACCAGCTCGGTGACGGCAGGAGCGGCCGAGGAATTTGTGTCCATCATGAAGAGGCTGAGCAGGGCCTTCGTCGTCGGGCAAAGGACCAGCGGGGGCTGCCACCCGCCTCAGATGTACCACGTGGATGGCACCGACCTCTACGTCACCATCCCGACCTCCAGGTCCGTCCTTTCCGTTGACGGCACCTGGGAGGGCGTGGGGGTGACCCCGCACTTGGCCGTCCCCGCGGAGGTGGCCCTCGTCCGAGCCAAGGAGACGCTCAACGCGCACCTTCACAGCCCCAGCTAGACTTTCAGAGAGACACCAGAAAAGGTGGGAGCGCAGAAGAAGAAGCTGGAAAAGGAGAATTAAATGAAGAAAGGCATCCGACGACCCGCTGGCGTCCTCGGGGAGGCGAACATCTCTCGTCGGATGCCTTTCTTCCTGACCTGGCGCATCATCAGTTACATAGCCCGATCTCTTCCCTCTACGCTTGAATTCGGAGTTGCGAGATCGTTCCGTGGTGTACAAAGAGAACTGCGGGGTGGGGTGGGGGGGTTACCAGTTGCGTGCTTGAATAAAGACGAGGGGATGCAGTTTCAACGTGGTGTTCCGTAATTCAATCTTATTTCTGCCCAATGCCAGAACCGGGATCAGTGGAAGTAAATCCTCCAAGCCAAAGTCTCCCCTCCCCTGCTAGGGTTGCCAGCCTCTGGGCGGGCAATACAAAAACTGGGGGTCACACAGTGTTAGGAAGACAGGGAAATATATATGACACTGTATAGAACAGATGTATGCTTAAGGTAGATCTATGATGTGCGTTTTATTTTTGAAACAATTTTTCTATACTATTATATAAATATTAGTGTCGGGTATTACCAATAGGGCTGCGGTGGCTCAAGTGGTTAAGACGCTGAACTGCAGCCCGGAAGGTCAGTAGTTCAGCAGTTCGAGACCCAAGTGTGCCGCATGACAGAGTGAGCTCCCGTCTCTAGTTCCAGCTCCTGCCAACCT